GAGAGAGAGAGAGAAATTAATAAAATAACGCAAACGATTTTATTAATTCACATTTTAAATCGACAGACGAGAATTGAATGGAAAAATTGTTGACGATCGAATAAAAAAAAAAAAAAAGAAGGAGGGGAAAAAGAAACAAACCATCCACCGTAAAAACCAATAAAAATTCAACTTTGATTCGAAACCACGCACACTTTCCACAATGCAGATTTTCCGGGCGGAATGGTTTGCAATTGAAAAAAACCGTATCGAAGTTGTTCGAAACGCTCACCTTTTACGGAGGTAACCAAAGTTAAATGTTGAGCATTCATCTCGGCGAGGCGGCGGATCACGTCGATCTGTTCCAAGGAAAGTTGAACCGCGTTCAACTGTGCCGCGCCGCATGGAACGTAGGCGGACCAAAACTGGAAAAAAAAAAAGAAACAAGCGGAGCAATCGTTAGAAATGGCTTTTAACGAGTCTATCCCCGCCTATTCGGTTCCAAATAAGCTTTGTTTCTTCGACACAATTAATTGGATCTTCCGTTTCAAAAAGCACGGATCCCTTTAATCGGTAAATCTTTGAACCTTGATTACTTGTTGCTCGTTAAACTCAAGTCGAGTTTATTTATTTATTGAGAGAAGGATGTTGTTGATTTTTAAATTATACACGAACAATTTATTTCGTTAAATATTATGGGATATATTTCACAAATATTTCCCTTTCACGTAAGAATACTATTCGTAATTCGTAATCCGATATTATCATTTTCAAGCGCTGTTAAGCACCTCGAATTCTTTAAATTACAAAATTAGATTCGTGATTATCTTCGAGTACGATCGATGCATACGCTTATCCTTGCTCGGCTCGATAATCATACGTTCCGCTCAGACAGAAAGTAGATGCTTTTTACGCTTCGGTTAGTTTAATACCGTGAACCGTATCAACAAGATTATATCATATCGTAATGTAATCGTTACACGGTATATTAATTTAGCAATGGAATTTTTTATTCTTTTTCAAATTAAACCGCAATCGCACGATAAACATTCTTAGTTAGATATTTCCTCTTCCAATTTGTTCCGATCGAGGATTTTTCCACGCGATCAAAACGAATGATCTCATCAATATATTCATCGCGCTTTCGATGATTATCGCGTGATGCTAATTAACCGCCGATTGTAGCGCCAGTAATACGTTCGTAATCACAACAACACTTGAGAACACTTGGCAATGGACGAGATAGACCGGTTAATTAACACCTATGCGAATTACCACTCCCCCCTCTATTCTATTTTGAAAATAATAATTATTCACGGATAGTTAATCAGCTTAATGATAATCCATCCATTTCGAGGATCGAAAGTGTTAGAATAGTTTATAATTGGAATGTAAACGCGTCACTTAAACCTAATTCATTCTCTGAAATTTTACCTAACCTAGAAAATTTATGTATTCGTCGAATAATGTGTTTCGAAAATTATTATATAATATTACATAATTTATAAACGCAACAGGAGTCATCGTTTTCACGTCGTGAAACATGTTGTCTATTCTGGGACGAATAGAAAGTTGTCCAGGGGCGATTTTCGAGGAGACAAGGTGAGCCGCGCATTCCTTTGAGAAGGGAACGTTACCAATTACTCGGCGGTCTGATTACCGCCGAGTTTCTCTGCCAGTGTAAATATTGAATTTCGCCTAACCCGATTGGCATCCCTAATTCTCACGGAGGGGGCTGCCGTGACGTCAACGTTATCATACTAATCGCGCAACGTTGAAATTCCCACGGAAACAATTTTCGGACAAAGAGGAATCGATGATCGAACGATTGCCACCGATCATCCCATCGCCTCCCCTCTCTTTGGATCTCTTTGAATCTTGTTTCGTGTATTCGGTCGCAAAAATTTGACTCGATTCGGCGAAAGGAATCGATGAAAGATCGTTCACGAAGGTAGGCTGTGAAGAAATTTCACTTTTGGATCCATATTTTTTTCTCAAGTCGCGTGCTCTCTTTATTGATGATAAAGAGACAGAATTTTCGTGGATGCTTTTTAAAAAGCGTCGTCAAAAAATGAATTTGAAACGATGCAGGTTATCAAGCATTGAATAACTAATAAAAGTAAAAGAATTAAATTACTTTCCAACTGCTCCACATCGTTTAAAACATTATTTTCTCCGTTTCAACCGTAAATCGATCGCAATTATAACGTTAATGCAGTTTTAACGCGATACGATTTAAACAAAGTAGGCAAAGTTGGGTGTAATAAACGGGGAGGAAGGATAATGGAAGGATGGAAATACAGGTTTACACACGAAGATTCGTTCGAGCTTATAACCGACGTGCACATCTCTGTTGATTTAAATCGATCTCAAGCCAAGCAACTTGTTTTACATCTGCTCGATTTTTATTTTTTAACATCACGAGCGTTATTAATCTCTCTCGAATTTCCTTCTTTCGAGGAGGGGGGCCCTCAATTCGAGAAACCAAGGAAAACCACGGTTCCTCCAAACCTCTCGCACCTTCACCCCTTCACTCGAAAAATGGATTAAATACGGCGCGAGACTCGGCGTTTCAACACGGGGTTGGCTTTTTACACCACCACCCCCCCTCCCCTCCCCCCGCATCAGAGAAAATAATTGAGTTGTTGCCGCGTTGCCTGAAACTTTCACGGTAAATTGGGTATTTTCCCAACTATAAAATGACAGGATCCAGGCTAAAAGGCGTTGGATATATTCCGGGGAACGACGTGTACACGGTCGAAAATGAAAAATTTCGTTTCGGAATTTGCCTGCCCCCGAGCGAGGCGAAGATTTCTTTTTTATTCTATTCTCGTAAATTTTCCACGCGTATCGATCGATATCGAACAAAATTAATCAACATATTAATCCAAAACACCCTTTCGAATCCACTTTCCAATCATCGCAACAAATAAATTTCCTTGCTCGCGCGATAAAGATAAAGCGAGATCGGCAACCGATCGTTAACCGATCGAGTTAACTTCCCGACCGACCGAGCCAACCTCCAACTCGGTCGACGGCTCTATCTTCCTTCTGTGTGACACCCGGCACAGTTAAGTAGCGTACACACAGGATAGTGGAAATGGCGGTTAATAAGCGTACGGACAGGAGATAAAGCCGTCCGACCGGAAAGAGACGTGCGTTCTTCCAGAAGAGAGGCAGATAATACCGACCGAGCTCGGCTCGCGTATTTTATTCGAAACACGAAACCATCGTGTTCGGGAAATATCGCTTTCTGCGATAAAAACAGGGGGAGGAGGCGCGCAGAGGGATGAAAAAAAGAGGAGGAGGAGGAGGAGGAGGAAAGAGGAGAATACGATCGAAACGGAGAAATTTCGAAGAAAAATATCTAACCGCGGAGCGATAAAAAATAAAAAAAAGATCCGAGACGATGTCCAACGAAGTTGAACGAGTTTCGGGAACAATTGGCCAAGCCGCGAAAAAAGAAAGGGCAATTAAAATTCTTCTCGATTTTCATCGCGCGCGGTCCACGCGAGTTTTCACCACATTTGAGTCGAGGAAAGCAATTTCAACTGTCATAGTCATAGAAAGGAGGGATGGAGGGAGGGGAAAAATCTTGTTGATTCAATTACCCTTCCCCGGCTCGAAAGTTTTCTCCTTGGTCGTGTTAATTAAACGCGAGCGAGCCACGCGAATGCCCGATTCTTTCTTCCTTTTTCCGTGTTCTCCGTGAAATTAGCAACGTGTAAAGTTTGCGAAATTTTTCAGTTTGTGATCGACGATCGATCGTTCATATTATCGTCCATGAATCGTTACGATTACGATTATATCGTTCGATATCTGGAAGTAAAAAAATATGTGAGAATTAATTAATTTCCTACGTTAGAATTTAGAAACTTTCCGAATTAAATCCTGAAAGGGGGGTTCGTAATAATTCGATCCGAAGAATGCTTCAAATCTGGAAATTTGAAACAATTTCGAAGCAAAGTTTTCAGTCGAACAAAAAAAAAAATGAAAAAGGGAAAAAAAATCGCACAAAAGGATTAATATTCTCTTAAGGAGGCCTCTTAACCCGATCTCATTTCTCAGCCAGCGATAACCAACAGAATGAAAAGTTCCTTTGATAACGATACCAAGACTGTAATAATGGCGGTTATTTACGCCATAACGAAATCTTTTATATAAGAATAGGGGCGAGAGACGACGCGCACACCTCTCGAAAAGACACGTTTACACGCGACGATGCTTTTCTTTGTACGTGTATATATTTCCCCTCCTCCCATTTCTTATTCTACCTTCTTTCTTCGTCCCCTCTCTCATCATCCCCCGAAGAAGAACAGTTTCGCCATCGAGAAAATGACTCTCTTGCCTTCTTGGCTCGAGGTTTTACACAGGCAACTCGGCCGTGAAATAATGGAATAATGATTCCGAGGAGATGAGAGCAACTATAGTGATCGATCATCGTCGAAGGATCGTCAAATTGACGAAATTTGACAATCGCAATAAATTGATCATAACTTTGTAATTATTGTGAGAAAATAAATTGTGTATTTTAACAAAGAAAAATGAGCCGTTAGATGAAACTTTTGAGATTCAATTCGTATTTTCGACGATCTTCATCTCGCTCTTTTCTCGCTCCTTTTTTCCTTTTTTCCTTTGGGAAGAAATCGATATTAGAACGAAGAATTCGACTTCTGTTTTCGTTTGTTTTTCCTACGGACCAAAGATCCTCCAACTCGGTAAACAGGATAATTTTCGCGGGATATTTATCGACGTTCAAGCATTTTCTCTGTTATCAGCTTCCCGTGACCGGCACTTTTATTGACTTTCCAGCTTTTCGATTCTCTCCAAGTTTAAGCTGGAAGGAGATCAACTAAGCTTGGTGGCTGGAAATGAGAAATTTCTTCTTTCCTTACATGGAAATTGAATTGTTCGAAAGAGGATTTCTTTTTTTCCCGTTATTTCTATTATTTAAATCGAAAACCCGGATTTCGATTTCAAGTTTCGTCCAGCCGCTGAATCTTTGAGAAATTGAACACGCGCATATTAGCATTACTTTTAATTTATTTCTTATATCGTCCAAAAAAAAGAATTTCCTTTCCCAAAATAATCGTACGATTTCAAATTTCTTCGTCTCACCCATATATACACACACGCATTATATTATTCTATTCTTCCTTTCGAGCAAACTTTCCTTTCCCCGGATCGATCGAAACAAACTCGAGAGGGCATCGAAAGTGCATTAACACGGGGAGGAAATCTGCATCGTCCAACTTCGGCACGGATAAAAGCTCGAGGAAACAAGGGAGGGGAAAACTCGAATTCCCCATCCTCGAATCCCCCCCCCGATGAGAAAACTCGAAAGAAAGCGAAGAGAAACCGCGAAAAGTGCTCGTGACGCGGAATTTGGTCACTCGCCACTCTCCTCACTGGCACCTTCGAGCAA